ATTCGCTGTGTCTAGAGTTCATCACCAAAGAAAAGTGAAACCATATAAAGCTGAATCTTTATTAGAGAAGGAGAGGGAAATTAAATGAATACGAATGCCAAGTCTTCAAAACAACAAATTAATTTTGTTCATCAAAATGACAATTTTTTTTTTAAAGCATCCCATTAAACAGAGTTGGCCTTTGCCATATTCATGTTCACCCTTTGTGTTCTACAAGTCCTTCTACTTGGCAATTTTTTTCTGAAGAAGATGCACTTCAACCCCACTAATCAGGTTACCAGTCTATGATATCAAAATGAGATGGAACCAATGGAGATAATTCCCTCCAAAGAGCAGTACACTTCTCAAAGTCACATCCTCTGCCCATGGACCTCCAGAATTATTCCTAAGCGCAACCATTTGTATGCAACCAATGGAGATAATTCCCTCCAAAGAGCAGTACACTTCTCAAAGTCACATCCTCTGCCCATGGACCTCCAGAATTATTCCTAAGCGCAACCATTTGTATTCAACCAATGGAGATAATTCCCTCCAAAGAGCAGTACACTTCTCAAAGTCACATCCCCTACCCATGGACCTCCAGAATTATTCCTAAGCGCAACCATTTGTATTCAACCAATGGAGATAATTCCCTCCAAAGAGCAGTACACTTCTCAAAAGTCACATCCTCTACCCAAGGACCTCCAGAATTATTCATAAGCGCAACCATTTGTATTCAATATATTTGGGAGATGTCTCATAAAGGAAGGGTTGATCTCTCGACACAATTTATCTGCCAAAGCATCGTGTTTTTTTTATACTAAAGACAATGCGAAGATTAATCAGAAATTAACTCATATTTGCTATTAAAATCAAAGTTGTTTAGGAGCTGTAGATAATCCTCTGATCATGGTACCTGAAGGATATACACGAATGCAAACCCACACTTGTTACATTTATGTTTTCAACTTACATTACCAATTGTTAGATTTCTACTAAAATAAATAGGGCTAATTCTTACCAAAATGATGAGTTTTGTATGGCTTTTATACATGAAACTGCAGTTGGAGTTCACCACATTGAACATTTCCTTAAAGTAGTTTTAATTCTGCTCTGATTTTCGGTGAAATCAAAGCATCAAATAGCGATTAAAATACTGCAAAAATTGGTCTGTATGTGGAATGGACTCAGTTGAACTGGATTTGGGCAGAAATACTGTTACAAACATATAATTAAACATTCCTAATTTAGGACAAATCATAAGGTATCTCCTGCTACTGTCTTATTGTCCCTCAAACACCTTAGAATTCAAACTAGAAAGGTAACCTGTCAGGTTGCTTGAGGCAAAAGGCTAGACCAGGTAGCTACTAAAAATACTGCAAAGATTAAGTCATAATCATCTTCACTAACTTGCACGCTTCAGATGTGCTGTGTCTACAATCCCCCAAATTCCCAGTCAGGAGGTTTTGCAGGCTCAAGTCGCATGGAGGGCACTATGTTGGGCTCATGAGGAATCAATCAGTTTCTTTCTGAGGACCACAGAAACACATAATTTGCCATAGACTACCCTGTATTCCCTTGTCAGGTTGACAGCGGCCACAATTCCATCCCTACACAACTGTCTCCCACTCCATTATTGGGAGCCATCAATCACCGGCAAATATAATGCAGAGCCATGCCAGGGCACAATTCCAAGCTGGTCTATGAAATATACAGCCACCTATTCAAATTATCCCAGATATCTCTCCTCCATTCCCCTCCAAATGGACTGTAAACAATCCTTGCCTGGCCCCTCCTCACACCTTGCTATGAGATGATCCAGTGAATAACTACTCAAGGATTTGCTGCCAAAAAAAAGGCAGAGTAGCCAATTTTACCTCTCTGAACAATAGACTGCTACCATAATTATTCTCCCTCTCTCCCTCCCTCCCTCTCCCTCTCCTTCTACCTTTCAATTTGCTTTCACGGAGAATGCTTACAGTTCCACACAGTAAATGTAGTGATTGTCAGTGATAAATCTCGGTTGAGGCATAAGTAAGCAGATCCCAAAACTGGATCCATGAAGCATAAATTCAAACCCCACTACTGTCAGTGACTTTCTCCTTGACTATACGCAATATCTATGCTTCCCCGAGATGCCTGCTCTTCCTGCTACCCTACAGGATTTTAATTCACTGGCAATGGCAAATCCAGGAAAAAACAGATTCAACAAAGTGATATAGATATGTGGCAACTGTATCAGAAGTGGTGGTCTTTATTAGTATAACATAAATAATAGGCAAAGTATAGACAGAGGAGAGAAATTAAGATTCAGATATAGACAGCCTTGCCTTCAAAGACACAACTTTTGAGCCGAGGTGGCGCAGTGGCTAAATGCAGCACTGCAGGCTACTTCAGCTGACTGCAGTTCTGCAGTTCGGCGGTTCAAATCTCACCGGCTCAGCGTCGACTCAGCCTTCCATCCTTCCGAGGTGGGTGAAATGAGGACCCGGANAGTAAGGCATTTGATAAGGTAGTCCATAACCTACTACTAGATAAAGTAGAAGA